TCGCTGCTGTTTATTATCAGTAGCTCTGTATTTTATGGCTCAATTAATTTTCATTTTTTGTTTTCAGTAGTGTTGTGTTTTCATAGAGTGCTTTTAAATAAAAGGTAAAGGTTCCCTCGACTCTAGGGTTGCGGTGCTCATCTCCGTTTCCAAGCCGAAGAGCCAGCGCTGTCCGAAGACGTTTCCGTGGTCATGTGGCCGGCATGACTAGACACCAAGGCGCACGGAACGCTGTTCCCTTCCCACCGAAGTGGTCCCTATTTATCTACTTGCAATTTCTTGCTTTCGAACTGCTAGGTTAGGCAGGAGCTGGAACTAGAGACGGGAGCTCACTCCGTCATGCGGCACCCGGGTCTCGAACTGCTGAACTACCGACCTTCCACAGCCTGCAGTTCAGCGTCTTAACCACTTGAGCCACCGCAGCTCCTCTAAAAAAAAAAGTGTGAGCCGGAGGCGAACAAACTGTGAGCTAGCTCACACCGACTCAGCTTAGAGGGAACACTGGTCACAGTTGACTTATGGCGACCCCGGGTGGGGTTTTCAAAGCAAGAGACGTCCAGCGGTGGTTTGCCGTGGCCTGCCTCCGCGACCCTGGTATTCCTTGGTAGTCTCCCACCCATATACTGACCCAGCCTGACCAGACTGGCAACCAGCAGGACAGGGGGCTGGGTGGCCAGATCCAGGTCGGGAAACTCCTGGAGATTTGGGTCTAGAGTCTGGGGAGGGCAGGGAGCTCTCTGGGGTACAAGAAGACAGAGCCCACCCTCCAAAACATCCATTTTCTCCAGGGGAAGAGATCTATGCGGTCTGGAGAGGAACTGTAATTCCGGGGGATCCCCAGGTCCCACCTGGAGGCTGGCATCCCTAGGTAGGGATCACTTTGACACAGGACAGGTGAATGTGGGGCTGTGTTTGCAGACCCTGTCAGGACGAGACAAGACATCCATGGCTGAGGCTGTCATGGGCCAGTGTTCCCTCTAAGCTGAGTCAGTGTGAGCTACAGTTTTTTAGCCTCCGGCTCACACATCTTCGTCTCAGCTCAGGCAGTGACGGCTCCGGAGCAAACTAATTTATGCAGTGGTCAGATCGCTCACTCACAACTTCAGTGCCAGCAGCTCACAAACTAGAATTTTTGCTCACAAAACTCCACAGCTTAGAGGGAGCATTGGCCATGGCACTCACGCTCGGTTGCCGTGGCCGTTTTACTGTCTTGCGGGTGGAGTTGCAACAGAGAGGCCTGTGGGTGTGGCAAGCCCCCCCCTCTACTCAGTCAGCTGTTCCAGCCCTCCTCTTGAAGCAGAGCCAGTCTTTCCAAGTTCCACCTGGGATGCTATCTCACTTAGGCTCATACCATGTTGGGGGCACTAAGACCTTGGAGTGGACGTGGACTGACTATTCACCCCTTGCCATGGATTCCAGTGCATTAAAGTATGCAGGGGTCATTTTGTAGAAGAAGAGGTGCAGGTGCTCATTAGCATAACTTATTTGCATATGCCACACCCCCTGACATCACCGAAAGTGTCAGAAGGCAACCCCCACCGCTCAGGCTCCACTGGACTGTTTTGGATTGCAAGCTATTGGGGGGGGGGGAAACGGCTGGGAGCAGGGGGTGGGGCTTGTTGCACGTGCCCGCCCCCTGGGCTCTTTACTGCCGGAGCTCCGCTCCTGTGCGCTCCTGCCGGAAATGACCCCTGAAAGTATGTGTTCTGGCCCACTTTGTCTCTGCTGCTTGGTTTCTGCTACGTGGCCAGACCTCCCCCCCCCCGCCCCACAACTTCCCCATCCGATCTGCCACTCCCCCTGTGGGCTCCCCGAGGGAATGCCTTAAGAGAGAGGGGGGGCTCGCTCACCCTGCAGGCTTCTGTGTGAAGGGTGGTCTGGGTGAACGAGCTGCCTCATCACGTTGGCTGTGGCATGAGGCTGGATCGGGGAGGGGGTTGTCCCGGATTCCATTCCCCACGTGTTACAGGTTAGCTAGGTGGGTGGCCTTGGGCCAGATGCACACTCTCAGCCTGACCGACCTCATGGGGTGGTTGTGAGCATGGAGTGGAGAAGAGGGGAATGATGCAACCTACCTGGAGCGGGGGGGGGGAGGTCGGTAATGGAGTGAGCGCATGGATGAGACTCCTAACCGTGTGTCTGCTCCAGGATGGGGTTCCTCTGGCACCCAAGGGGGAAGGCATCTGTGCAAGGAGCACGGGGGGGAGGGGCACTGGGTCATGGGGGGGTTTCTCAAAGTATTCATGGGGGGAGTCTTGCCCATAGAACATGCTGGCATGCAGGGCAAAATGACTGCTCGCCTGTCATTGGCAGGGGTCTCTGTCGGGGGGCGGGGGGGAAGGATGGCGGTCTCCTGAGCTGCCCTTCCCGACCCCCCCAACTGTCCACGTGCAAGGGCATCTGCCCTGGGACTAGCCACTCCCATTGACCTGACGTGTCTCTCCCCTCATGCCTCAACAGTTCGCCGCAAGGGCCAAATTACACTGCAGCAGCGGAATTGCCATAGGGCCTCAGGAGCAGCCAGCTACTCTTTCACACACACACCCTCCACTGCAGCGTAACTTGGCCCTTAGGGAGCCAACCAGTGGTGGCAAGGCTGCACGGTGGCTGGCCGCTGCGATGCGGGCACAGCTCAGGATTGTTCTGCCCAATGTGATCGACAAACATGACGGTGTTTTTCTTTTGTCTCGACGTAAAAACTGTATGAATTCATGAGGGTCCGTTTGAAATGATCTAGAGCTGGCTTCTACCCAGTCCCGGATGCAAGCCGCCTCGCCTCATGGCTCCGCTGTCCGCCGAGTTTCCAGCGAGAGCGAAAGGAAATTACCAGAGCAAGGACACTTCTGGGCCTTTCTTCCCTCTGCGGGGTTGGTGGTAAGTGAGGAGCATCGAAAGAGGGAAGTGTGGTTCTCGTGGCACAGATGGGAGGTGTGTCTTGGACAGACCCGCCGCCAGGATTTTTTAAAGTCAGGGGGCATTTAAATGTCTTAGGGGGCACTGGCTGATTGAATTAAAGGTAATTTAGTGAAAGAAAGTGGGGTGCAGGAACCCTGAGCTGTGCTGGTCTCCACTTCGGCCACCAGCAAGTTGGAGTCTCCCTCCTGCCGCCACTGCAGGCATCTAGCCTGCGTCCCTCCCCAGAGGCCCTTGACTGGAGCTGCCCCTCCCATGGGGAGAAGGCTGTGACGCCCAGGGCTGGATGGGAAGTTTGGGGGGGCTTGCCAGGAAGTCAGGGGGCCTAGCTCCGAGATGCCCCACTGTAGCTGCAGGCCTGGTCTTGGGCCTGAGACAGCTGCCAAGAGGAAGAAAGGCCTTGAGGGCCTCAAGGAGTCGTTAACCGGACTGAAGTCTTTCTTCCTAATTCTGCGCCGAGTGCCAAATTAGTGACTATAAGATGAAGCTCTGAGACGTTCCCACCAATTTCACATGCAACAACAGATAGTTGGAAATGCAAAAAGAGGGATAGAAGGGTGGACCTCAAACATATTTAATTTAATAGTATTGTATACTATTTCCTAATCTGATGTTTATTTGGGTGAACGTGTATAGACCATCACACCAGATAGTTAACAGCGGACAGTACAATACTGTACCGGCACCCTCTCCTTTCTGATTGGTTGCTTTGCCAAACCGTTTATTAACAGATGTAAAGGAAAAAAAGAGACCGAGAGGCTGGCCGGTTTGTAACTGTTATTCTGTCCTGTTTCGGCTCCTTCTGCTAACAAATTAGTCTGTGATGTACTGAGATCTTATTCCAGCCTGACCCGAGGATTCTGGGTAAAATCATTCACTTTGATCAAGCCATCTGGTCCAATGCTGTGAAGAGAACATAAAAATACGTATCTGCTCAGTCATCAGAACTTGATCTAAACATTTTGAACATCTCTCATACCTAACTATAACAACATCTTGTACCTTCCCAAATATCGTTCATGGTCCCAACCACTTAGAAATTAAATTATAGTTGTATAGACCTTTTAAAAGGAGGGTGGACCACTGAGTAATATTTGAAAAACTGTTTTTGGTTAGGTTTTATAATCTCACGATTTAGCACTGCAATGCAAGTCAATGCCAAAAGATGGCAGCAGTTACATATATCCTGAATAGAGGCCTGCTTTGCACATTACATTTGTCATACCCTGATCCAAAGGAGATAGTATAACTGAGATTTTGAAACAAATACACAGCTAAACAATTCTTGCCACCAGCAGTCCCTGCAAGTAACTCCATGTTGTGACATGAGAAAGTTGCAGAGAGCTCACCAAAGCTGAGAGAACATCTTCCTAACAAGGGGGGAAGCTGATAAATTGTAAAGGAATGTACCTTAGCTAAGTGAGCAGGTACCTCAGGTCTTTCCCATTTAACTAAATGGGACATAAAATTGCTTTATTTTTTACTGCATTGGACCCATCAGATTAATATGCTCTGAGGAGAAAAATAAAAATATTGTAATGAGCATGGAAAAAATATTTTACTTTTCCATTCTAAGCAACTGAATCAAAAATCTAAGAGACAGCATCAAATGTTTAGATGCATGTTAAATTAAACACTGGGATTTTGCCATGACAGTCTAGTGAATTTTGCATGAACAGTCTCATAAATGGGTTGCTTATGGGATTTGGCTATATCTACCTCCTTTACTATCTCAAGACTCTGAGTACTTTTCCTAATATAATCTTCCTAGGAGGTTAGCTGCTATTGTGTAAATAGAATTACTCACATCTCTTGCTCAATGTAATTCAACATTCGGCTGACATGAGATGCTGAAATCTCCCCATCAACTTCGGCAATGTAAGTGTAGAGAAACTGGAAAGTACTGAAAGGAATGCGTGCAGGTCCACTGTCATTTTCATTGGACAAAACCTCGCAAATTATCTTCAGAGTTTTTGCAATAGTCTATTAAAAAAAAGAGTATCAAGTTTGGCCTTTAAAAAAAGAGCAACTAGTTAGTATGGGTTGGATCCAAAGGACTGCAGGAACTGACTTGTAGAATGGACCTTTTCTGCCACGTCTTCCTTGTAGCTCACCGTGTTCCCCCCCAAAGGGATTCCTGGGGGTTGTGGGACTCTCAAGAACATTGAGAGGTACAGTATGGGTTCTGCACTGTGAAGAGAGAAATGGCAAAACTCTCACCCCACTCCTCTTGCAAAAGCAGAAGAACCCTTCGGCTTGTGAAAAATATGTTTGGATCCAACCCCATATTTCTAGAAATGTGAACAGCTAAAGTCATGGATTAAAAAAACAAAAAACAGTAATAGTACAGATCTGGTCATGCTACTTGCAAGGAGCAAATGAGATCATTGTTTTGTGACTGGGCTGGGGTTTGAAACTGAATCTTCATAAAAACTGATTTCCCACATTGTAGGGTAGATATTCCACGATGAGTATCAGCAGGGTTCTTTTTGTAGAAAAAGCCCAGCAGGAACTCATTAGCATAATAGACCACACCCAACAGCAGAAACTCATTAGCATATTAGGCCATACCCATGACAGCACGGCTCATTAGCACATTAGGCCGCACCCCCATGTTACCTGAAGTGTGGTTATCCAGCCACACCTACCTTTTGCTTGTTATTCTGTTTACCTTGTTTGTTGTCAAAACCCAGGGCTTTTTTGTAGCAGGAACTCCTTTGCATGTTAGGCCACACACCCCTAATGTAGCCAATCCTAATGAGTTTCTGCTATTGGGTGTGGCCTATTATGCTAATGAGTTCCTGCTGGGTGTGGCCAACTCGGGAGCCAGCCGGAACGCCGTTCGTGTGCGTTCCTGCCCCAAAATAGCCCTGAGTATCACTTTAGTTGAAATGGCAAGGCAGATATGCAGCTTAATTATAATCACCTTTAATAATGTGTTGAAAATGAAGCCTAGTGGCTGCAGTGCAGTTAATTGAGTTTGAATCCATTGATTTAAGTGGGCTTAAGCACACCTAAATATGTACTGCATTGTGACAAAAAATAAATAAATCAGGTTTTATAAAGAATATATATGGCTCCACACAGGCTCAACAGACATGGGGATGGGAGTTTTGTACTTCCCAGGTGCACACAGAACGGATTTTGATCAGGACCAATGTTCCCTCTAAGCTGTTGAGTCTTGTGAGCAAAAATTCCACTTTGTGAGCTACCGGCATTAAAGTTGTGAGCAAGTGATTTGGCTGCTGCAGGAAAACGTAACATATACTGATGGGTTGCAACTTAAGTTTCCCCTATTGGGCAGATAGTGGCACCCGAGGCCAAGTTCAGATTGGGAAAACAACACAGAGGACGCATGAGTTAGGCCTGGCTTGGCTCATTCCAGGGAATCACTACTCCCTCCCTGTTTCCTTTGGCTTAATAGAAGTTGTAATTGGTTCTCAGCCTGTGCAAGCAATATAAAACATTTTAAAATCCTGTAAAATTTTGATCAGCAGACGTACGAATACTGTATTAAGACTACATTAGAGAAGCCTTGTAAATTAAAAAAAAAAAAGGTGAATGTGATGGGGAAAATTCCTCTACTCCCAAGAATTCAGACCCGGTGGTAGGATGGGGATAATTCCTCTACTCCCAAGAATTCAGACCCGGTGGTAGAATGGGGATAGTCAGTGGGAGGGAGACAAAGGTTAAGAAGGAGAAATCATATAGAATTTTGTTGCTCCAGTAAATATGTAGGGATCAAGAAACTACAAAGCTTATTGTGAAAAGTCTGACACCCAATCTGGAAGTTATGTATGACTGAGTATATATGTACATGAAAGGGAATCCTCCCTTCCCCACAAATCTAAATCTATTAGCTCCGTCTGCTTTTCATTTTTATTTATTTTTTGCTCACCTGAAGTCAAAATCTTCTGTGAAATCAGAATTATCTCCACAGCAGCTAACTGTAATGTTACAAATACAAGATTATGACTTCAGATGAGGAATAAACTGCAGGAACAGGCGGATTCACAAACACAAGCATGCCAGGTTCACAAAAGCTGCCTCTAGTAAAATAGTCTGAGGAGTGTGGTAGAGAGGAAGAGAATACAATACTTCCATAAGTCACGGCTGTTCTAAGCATAGAACCAGTATAGCAGCCTTAGGGCCTCTTTCACGCGATGTAACCTGACACCACCCTGATTTGCATAGCCCAATCTTGTGACATCTCAGAAGCTTAGGAGGGTCTTCCCTAGTTAGTATTTGGATGGGAGGCTACCAGAGAACACCAGGGTTGTTGCACAGAGGTGTGCAATGGCAAGCTACCTCTGAACATCTCTTTCCTTGAAAACTACGGGGTCACCACAAGTCCGCTGTGACTTGATGGCAAAAAAGGGCATCCCGTGTAACCAGCTACTGCCTGTGCTGGACCAAGCATACAGTAAATGTAGTGGTTTCACTTAATGGAAAAGCTTGCTAATAACAAACAACTAATTCTGATACATGTGGTTTAGTTAAAACAAGAGGGGAACCCACAATGACTTTCAGGGGGCATCTTATTTTCCCCCCAACTATTTCCTCTTTCTTTCCCTTCCCTGAAAGCCCCTCAAACATCTCCTCTTTTCCTGTTTCCTTCTCTCCTTCCTACCCACCCAACAGCCAGCCTACCTTTCTCTTCTCATCAATCTTCAAGTGTTCTTCCTTCCCTCCACTGGGACCTTCTCCCCAGGAAAACGCTGGCCAAATTATGTGGTGCTGGACGCTGGGCCCAG